TGCAAAAAGTGTAAACAGGATTTAGTACATAAAGTACTAGCTATAAAAATAACCCTAACAAATGAATTGGCAATTTTATTCCTGCAGGGTTAAAAGTGTAATTTCTACCAAATAAATAACTATATTACACTATTTTTGTATGAGTAAAATGCCAAAAAATAAAAATAAAAATGGGACTACTGTGCTGCATGTATGTTGGACATTGTTAGGGGACAAATTACAGTATATAAATTATTGAGAGTGTGAAAAGTGTGTTTTAAATCCACAGGGACAAAAGGACATGTAAGACACACTATTATGTGTTATACTGAAATACAAAATAACTATATTTTGCATAACATTTGTCTATTTATGCAAAAACAGCACCAACTAAGCATTCATCAGTTCTAAGTCAACTACAGCTCAAAAAAATCATGAGAAATAAGTTGGTTCCTTTTTTTGTTAAACGAGTCTGTGCCTATTCACATGAATCAGTGTCTCTGGGAAATGGGAAAAACAGTCTGTGAAAAAAAAGCAAGCATGCAAAAAATTCCAGACACAAACAGAAACAACTAAATAAATACAGTGGAGACACACTGGAGAAACAGAGGAAAAAAAGATCATGGAACACATGATTTACACAAGAGAAACACATCCTGACACACACACAAGCATCCTCAGAGGATGCAGCACAGGTATTCACACACACATGCACACTAGGGTGGCCCTTATTTTTGGACTTTTGAAATCTTTTGCTCTCACCCGCCCAGTCAACTCCCCTTCATAAGAAATGGAAACGAACCAAGTTTTGCTTAATGACCATAATAGCCCATAATTAATAATTATACAAGATTATTATTAAACTGTGAATTAGGTTAAAAACGAGAACACAGAACAGTGTTGTTAGTCTTAAAATGTTAAATTACGTCAGCACTGATGGACACCAACATGTAGCACTGTTGCACTTCAGGCATCCCGTGTTCGAATCCCAGCTCGTGGACCTTTCCTGATCCTGTCTCCCTATCTCTCTCACACTTTGCATCCTCTCCACTTACTGTCCTATCGAAATAAAGGCATAAAATGAAAAAAAAAAGTCAAATTACAACACTGCTGATAAGAACTGATATTTGAAAAATTGTGAACTGATCTAGATTGTGATGGTGAAGAAAGTGAACTTGGAACAAAACTGAGATCTGATCTAGATATTTATGATGATCCAATAAATCCTTCAACCACAGTACTCTTGCAGGGACCTGGAAACAGATTTCGGGGCTCTCTGATAATCTGCATAATGAACTGCCATTGTTGTAACATGTTGCCAAGTATGGTAACCCATACTCAGAATTTGTGCACTGCATTTAACCCAAACAAGAGCACACACAGCAGTGAGTAGTGAATACACACACACACACACACACACAGACAGAACAATGGGCAACAATTTGCTCCAGCGCCCGGGAAGCAACAGGGTTCTCACACACACACACACACACACACACACACACACACACACACACACAGACAGAACAATGGGCAACAATTTGCTCCAGCGCCCGGGAAGCAACAGGGTTCGGTGCCTTGCTCAAGGGCACCTCAGTCGTGGTTACTGAAGGTGGAAGTGAGCACTGTACATTCACTCCCCCCATACTGAGACTTGAACCCACGACCTTCAGGTTACAAGTGTGACTCTCTAACCTTTAGGCTGCAACTGCCCCTCATCTAATAGAAACAGTCAAACATTTATCAGTGAACAAAACCTCCACTAATATAACCAATCAGATCTTGAAGTACCTGTTGATAAAAAAGATACATTCTTTGAGCATACCCTAAATGTCAAATTATCTGGATGGTATTTTGCATACATTACATACTTCTAGTGGAGAAACAAGTGAGGGGGTGAGAGGTTAACATACCCCTCCCCCCCCCAGTAAGCCACCCTAACACACACACTGGTTTCCATGTATTATGGGGACATTCCGTAATGGTTTTTATACTGTACAAACTGTATTTTTTATCCCCTTACCATACCCCTACCCCTAAACCTACAGATCACAGAAAACTTTCGGCATTTTTAGATTTAAAAAAAAAAAAAGTATGGTTTAAAAGCTTTCCTCATGGGGACCAAAAAATGTGCCCACAAGGATAAGGACTGTGGATATTGCCATATTTGTGGGGACATTTTTCCCCATAATGTAAGGTATACCTGAACAACACACACACACACGCATAAAGCAACCAAGAGAGAAAAACCTCAATGGTTCCTCTTGAATAATCAGATTAATGGTTAATAAAATACAATATTATAATGCAAAGCTGTATAATAAAATACTGTATCTTGCCAAAGTCAAAAGCACATAAAAGTGCACACGAGAGATGGTGTGTGTGATATAGAGAGAGAGAGAGAGTGTGTGTGTGTGTGTGTGTGTGTGCGTGAGAGAGAGAGAGAGAGAGAGAGAGAGAGAGAGAGAGAGAGACTGAGCAGTGTCTGTAAACCCAATATCCTCTGTGGCCCCAGGGGCTGGGAGTGCACGGCCAGTGCAGGAAGAGATGGGCTGCATTATCCACATCAAAGCTCTGAATTATCTGCATAATCAATGCCTTTGCATTACTGCCCCTGCTCTCCCACTGCACTGTACAGCACAGCAAGGCCATGGGATCATCCAGAGAGAGAGAGAGAGCTAGCAAACAAGTGAAGGGGAAATGTCATTATGGGGTGATGTCTGTTCTTAAAATATTTGTAGGTGCTGTGGGACAGCAGGCATTGGTGGTGTTTAGCACCTTTCTGATGGGTGTGGGCTGATTTTTAGAATAGGTACTGCAAAATTCCTCTCTCTCAGTTGATCTCTTATGTCATTATCTGTTACTGCATCTCATCTTTGTAAATGTAGCAGTATGGTGCAAACTGCTTGTTATATAGACCGCTGGTGATATTATATTTAACAAATTACATTTTTGAATTTCAACGTAACTGCAGTATATGCACATTGCCTAAATAACCAAATAATAACAAACAAAAAATATGCAAGGTCATTGCCGTTGTTTGCATTTTGAAATGAACTTTCAGGATTATCATAAGTAGCATTTAGAGGGAAATGCTTTCATTTACTCCATTTTATGAAATGAATGAATCATAATGGTAGTCAAGCCACTTTCAGATATAATGAGCGCATTGTTCAAATGGAGGGGAAGTTTAATCGCTGTCCTGTGATAGAAAGGAAAAGTTGTTGTTTAGCGCTCTCTGGTGACTAGATTAGCTACTTCTTGACTCTTATCTTTTCCTACTTTTTACCAATTCATTCTACGGTTATTATCGTTAAACTTTTCGTTACTTGAAACTAAATTAACAGAAATAAAATTAAATATGGAAACGCTTTTATTTAAGCTAGTTTAATAGAATAAATAAATTGATAAAAAAAACTTTTTGAAAAACTGAACACATTTAGTAAAACTTTAGGTAAAATTAAAGTGAAAACAAAATATAAAAATACAAATTCTAAATATTAACAAAAGCTATATTAGTATACGAATAATACTAAAATAGCTGATTCATACAGAAACAAATTTGAACTATTATTGCAATGTGTAAAAAAAACTCCAAAATAAACTTCCAATCCAAATATAATTAGAAAACAAAGCTTTATACTTTGGAGTTCAGGTTCAAAGTGCAAGAGAAATAAACACCCGCAGGTGTCAAGAGGTCAAACATCTTTATTTCAAGCACAAACAATTACAAGATGTAAAGTTACACCCACAAAAGAGATAAATGCTGCAGATGTAACAGTTTGTAAAGTATATGAATTTAAAGGGGCACTCCAACACATTTCAGTAGATGCATTTAGTCAGGATATCACACATCAAACATAATTTTCTTTGAACACAGCATTGTTCTACAGTTCTAAGAGAAGAATACCTTTAGTCACATCAAGATATTTAAAAAATGTCCACATATCCAAGCTACCTGTAATGCTACAATCAACCGCTTGATGACAACACAAACCATTTATTCTTTGCCACTCTCAAATGCTAACAATTGCACTGTAATAAAGGTAAACCTAGAAAACTCTAAACTCAAACATAGCAATGTCCCTTCAAGTGTCAGAGTCTTATGAAGAAAAATAAAGTGAAAAAAAAAGATTCATGCAGATATTGTAGAAACATTCAATGTACCATGACAAAAACATCTCAGCAGTTTCAGACTGTTATAAAAACAGAAATGTTGATGGAGGCCCTATGGCAGCCAGCGTTTACTAAGCAGAATTATTATTTTTGTTAATTTTATAATAATTTTTATTTCTTTCTTATTTTACTTCTGACCACTGTTTAGATATAGGACAAAATTGACCATTTGACAGATTTAATTTTCCATACAGTATAGCTTACAGAAATCACTGTTACCCCATGTGCTATCAATCACTTTAAAACAGTAAAACCCCTCACCAGCTTACATTACATATTAGTGGTCTACCGAAGTATCAGCCAGACTAATAAATAAGCAGATATTTGGCATTGGCTGAACACTGTGTAGGCGCCTCCTTGAGTCAGTTATAACATCAGACAGCTTTAGATAATGTGATTTTCTGTTTTAAAATATTTCTTATTTTTGTGTTTGCCTTTTCTATGGTTTCTATACACACTACTGTTCCAAAGTTTGGGATAATTTTTGTTTCATTATTATTGTTATTATTATTTTAAATGAATACTTTAGAAAGATGCATTAAATTGATCAAATGTAACTTAACTGGTACCAAAAAAAAAATACATATTTCAAATAAATTCAACTTTCTATTAATCAAAAAGATGTGAAAACTTGCAGCATAACTGTTTTCAGCATTGATAATAATAAGAAATGTTTCTTGAGAAACAAATCAGCATATTAGAATGAATTCTGAAGGATCATGCGACACTGAAGACTGGAATAATGGCTGCTGAAAATTCAGCTTTGCATCACAGATATAAATTACATTTTAAAATATATTCAAATAGAAAACGGTTACTGTAAATCCTAAAAATATTTCACAATTTTTCTGTTTTTACTGTTTGATCAAATAAATGCATCTTTTAAAAACTTATTTTTATATTTCTATATAGTGGGTCATCCTGCAATCTGCATGGGTCATTGAAAAACGTGCATCGGTCGACCACTATGACACATATGCATAATTTTCTACATAAAGCATCACCTCTGTGACGTAACCAAAAAAATAAAAAAATTAACATTTGCATAATTAATGTACCCAAATGAATAAGAAAACCAAGAAAACCAGCAATCACCTTTTACATTACAGACAATACTCAACTTTTATTCCAGTCAAGGTATATACTTGCATATCATTCCTCTCCAAATATTTACATGCTTACAGTAGTATTGACTAGAGGCTACTAAAGGTTGTGGTGCATCATATGAAGAGATGACTCAACAATATAAAAATAACTATCAGTAGTCACACGGTATTGTGTCAGCTGTGATTAAATGCTGTTTTAGTTCTTACTTCATACGGCATTATCCAATTCCAAAGCATAACAACTAAAAAGTCAGCGCCACCATCACCAAAAGGAGCCACTGGAAAGAGGGCAGCATGCAGAGAATAAGATTTGGACGGGGGAAACGGGGAGGCCTCTAAATCTTCTTCCTGTTCATTCCTGTCAGAAAGAAACAGTTGGATTGGTAATAACAGAACACAAAAGGGAGGAATTCACGAGGCAGTTGCGCCACATTCGCATGCTGTATTTTAGTGGGAAAACGTATTCTTGTTCACTGACCAACTGATAACTTTCTTATCCCCCGTCAACGTTTATTATAGCTCGAGAATGCTTGTCAGATTTCACGATTTGTTTTGTATAGTAGTATGAATGATAAAATGTTGCTGGCAAACTTCTGACTTTCTTTGTAGTAAAATCTTGAATTTCTGCCCAGTCTGTCCTCATTCTGATGTGAATATGTGGAAACTCACGTTGGCTTCCTTCCCAGAAATGAGACCAAAAATTGGTTCATCCATTCAGAAAAATATGACTACAAGATTTGTCAACTCAACACGTTTTGTAAAGACATTCTGGCACTGCAGGTGTCGATGGAAACAATCACTGGCCTATAGAGCTCAAACATACAGCACATGTTGACATTTTGTCTTAAATTATAACTAGTGCAAAAACTCAGCACCTATATTTTCAGTGGTCTTTATTGCAAGTCTTGCTTATGGCAAGACAATTCTTCGTTTAAGCAGCAATGTGATTAAATATGCATTCTGCTTTATTGCATCAGTTTTTTCATCTTTTATTGTGTGTAAAATAATGAAGTCACTGGCAAAAAAGTTATTTTGTGACCAGTCTTACGCAAGTCGGGCTCAGAATGACAACCTCATTCATTTATGCCCAAGTAGAATTTAACATGGGCCCTGTATGCCAGGGAGCGATCTATTATTAACTACTGTACCCAGACAACACATGCTGAAGATAAATGCTCTGGACAAGGTATGAAATGATGTGAGACTTCTAGTGCAACTAAAGCAAACAGTTTCTTCAATCTGTATCTTTTTTCTTTTTTTTACAGGAAACATACATGTATCACTGAGAACAGAAAACTCTAGCACAAAGTGAATAAACTACTGTAGAAAAAGGTTTGAGGTCAGTATAATTTTGTAATGTTAAAAGTATGAAAGTGTTTTTTTCTTCAGGATTCGTTGATGAATAAAAAGTTCAAAAGAACAATTTATTTGAAATAAAACAATCTTTTGTAACATTGTAAATGTCTTTACTGCCATTTTTAATTAATTTAATGCATCCTTGCTGAATAAAGTATAAATTTCTTTAAAAAAAATCTTACAGACCCCAAACTTTTTAATGGCAGAGTATGCGATATTAAATATAATAAATTATATAATAAACCCAGACTTTAGTTCTATTAGACCATTTGTTGTGAATGTTTTGGTTACTGTACCTTTAAGACCCCTAAATGCCCTCCTTTTCTAAAAGCTTTTATTTCAAAACATCATAAAACATTTGATATTTTATATGAGCCCTTTTAAATGACCAAGGTAAAAGGCATTTCTACACTGCACCTACAGAAATGTGTCCCTTTCCAAACAATTTCAAGTCTTACAATCTAGAAGATTCGCGAGGTGACCCCCGTACTCTTGATGATGACAGTCCTGTCCTCTTTAATGGGTGGTTTGTACTGGTAGTCGTCACTCAGCAGTCCCAGAAGAGGGTACTGGTTCATGTATCTGTTCCATGATAGGAAAAAGTTTACAATGACGATTAGGACCGAATTGCAGTTTAGTTTTCACATGGTACTTATATGCAATAAACACACACACACACCTCTTGGTAACGACAGTCTTCGTTGTACTGCTGGAGTTGTCGATCTTCTGCTGTTTAAGTCGTCTGATTTCCTGAGAGTGCAAGGTCATAGGTCAGAATGAAGTACTCCAGTAGAAAAGAAGAAAGGTTATCTGTTCAAATTGTACAATGAATTCACATTCCTCAAGAGTAATGAGGCTGAGCTAACGCAGAGACGGAAGAAAACAAAAGAATGTCAACTATGACATTCTTGCTTATAATAAGGGTGCTCCGATCAGGATTTTTGGATCCGATCACCGATCGTCAATCACAGGAAGCAGTAGTTGCTCCAACTAATGGATTTGACGGCCTGGAACCAATTTATACTAGGGTTGGGCGATGTCTACCAAATTGGCATCGGACGATGTCTGCAGTGAAA